TCAGACCACCGTCGTCTGCTACATGGACTGAGATAATCGAACCTAGATTATAGCACTCCTTTCATGACGCTGAAGTGTGTGGAAACATCAACAACCATAAGTAGAACCAGTGACGGTACACAGTCCTGCCTTCTAATCGGTTCCATCACGTCTTCACAGGAACATCAGTGGAGAGGAGAGGAGATAGGGACCAGATGAAGAGACCAGGGCGAGGAGACGCTCACCACTCACCCACGAGTCTCTACAACGTTCAATTTGAATTTTTGTTTAACTTATCGATAGGACTGTTTATCGTCAAGAATCTGGCGATACGATACGTATCACGATATGATATGCTGCGATGTGTAACTGTAGTCAAAGTGTCATCATGTGTTTGACACCCCTGGTTTAACAGGCTCATAACTCAACAACCTGAAGAACCAGACGACACCGAATGTTGTCTCTTTTGAATATACTAAGAAGAATCTGGCGATACGATACCTATCACGATACAGGAGCGACGATACGATATACATCAGTTCCTAACTCTGGAACAGAGGGATCTACATTTGGAATCACTAGAGAAGAAAGAAAAGAACAAGGACATGAACCAACACCAGGAATATTGGACTGGGAATTGGGGAGAAAAAATCAAGAACTGATCAATGACTGAGGAGGAGATTGATCAAATATTGCGATACTTCAGTGTCGGTCGACTCTTCCCCAACACAACAACAACAGCAACAAAGAGTCAAACCTTGAGAACTGACCTCAGATCAGACTGATTGATCCTCCAGGATCGGTTGTTCTCCCAAACTGCAGATAGATTGATTTGGCCACAAAAGATTACGCCCTGATTTTCATTAAGTGGCCTGTGGTGGCCGGCTGCTGCTGCAGACCTTCGACCTCTAATTAACACCCCCCCCCCGCGCTCCCCCCACCCACACTGCACCGTTTCCCAAAAGTGATCTAATACGGCACACGGTCCGGACGAAGGTCAAATGTTTTCAAGCCCTCGTTGAGGTACATATAAACACACACACACACACACACACACACACATTGATCCATTAAACCGGTGTTCATTTCAGATTCCTGTTAGGATCCATAAATCCTCATTGATTTCACCGTCTCCTCTGATTAGACAATTGAAGGCAACATATTGAATACTTGTTCGTGACTTCAGCTAACGCCCTCATATATTTGTTATATTTGTCAGTACTTCACAACAATCCTATAGTTATCATGTACCAGTGGCGGGGGGGCAGGGGGGGGGGTACTGTGCCCCCCACCTCCTCTGTGTGTGCTGCTGTTCTGTTAGCCACATTAGCCACGTTAGCAGCGCTGACACCGAGTGTTGTCAATGTCAAACAGGCTACGAGCTAACAACAAATAAAAACAGTGTTGTTGAGGAGATTATGTTTTTCAAAATAAAAGCGTGACTCTTATCAGAGTAGAGAGCTAGTGCCCCCCCACCCTCCCACACCCCCACCAGAGGTAAAACGTGTCTGATGTGATCTAATGTCATCTAATCTCTGGGTTCCAGTGTTTGTGACGACCCAAATTAGGAATCTCAACGTACGGTAACTGACCCGCGGGCCTTATTTTGCCCACAGTTCAGCATTTCTGAAAATAATGGAACCGTTTTTCTGGAGAGTCACGAACAAATGAATTTGCTCCCTGTTAAATTGCAACGACTTTCACACACCGTGGCGTGCGTCCCATGGAACGCTGAGCTGTGATTGGACCGATGCTGTTCAGCAGAACTACGACATCACAGCTGGTGTCCACACCGCAGTGGAATATGTTCTGCTCCACCAGTGGAAGGAACCCTGACGGACACAGAGCAGACGCTCAGCTCGTGTCTGTGCACGTGACACTGATCTCGTGCACTGACCTGGAACTGTTTCTGAGCTCACGGGCCAGACCGCAGAAGTGGATCAGGTCCCAGCAGCGGAGGAAAACTGTCCAGGCATTCTCCCTCGTCTGTGTCAACAGTGACACACCTCTGCTGTCTGTCTGTCTGCCCCCCCCTCCTCCATACCCCCCCCTCCTCCTGTTGTCTTCACTGCACTAACAGAGAGAGAAAAGGAAAAAAAAAAACAGAACCCAGAATCGTGTCAGTCCGCAGATCCAGAACACGTTCTCTCCAGACCTGCGCGGGGTTAAATCCCGGCCTTGCTCGGCCTCTGGTTCCACTTGATTCCTCTCGTCAGAGGGATGAGGCAGCAGTTGGAGAAACAGCCCACCCTAGGGGTTGAAAGCTTGTCTCCCATCCAAGCCTGAAACTGTTTTCACTCAGAACCTTGTCCGTGCGCCCGAACATGTCACAGGAAGTTAGATGTAACAAGAGGGAAGAGGAACTATCCTTTAGATCTGTCATCGAGGCCGGCAGCCCGCTGGCCACACACTTCCACCGGCCAATCAGAAGGCTGGACGGAAAAACAAATCGGAACGGTGCTGCGTCTGAATGGACAACTCGCGGCGGTGATGTCATCGTTCTCTCGGTACATTTGAGCCAATGGCGACAGGGCGTAGGGCAGTGTTTTGTCAATTATCTGCCATGCCGCCCCCTAGGGGACAGCGGTTTTTTCACGCCTCCCCGGCCCCAGATTGTAGTACCATTGAGCACCTGGTACTATTTATTATTCTGTATAAACCACTGTGTGAGTTCTTCTTCTACTAAGGTGAACAGGCGGCCTGCTCTGCTGCCATCTAGTGACTGGAGGCTTGGTTATCGTTCAAGCATGAATAAAGACAGTATACTGAATGTCCCCTCTCCTGCCGTCCCCCGCCGTCACCCCCCCGCCCCCACTCTTTGTGAAGCACTGGTCTAGAAGAACGCAGCGTTTCCTATTTTTCTTCTCTGCTACTTTGACCTTTTGTTTTGACCTCAACGGTCAACAATTAAAATGAAGCAAAGGGTTAAAAAAAGTAGTAAACCGATTTTTGCACGTTCTTCAGTATCAGAGTCTGAATGACCTTTGACCTGTTTTTCTGAAACACTAACAGATTATCTTTGAATGAAAACAGTAAAGGGACATGACTGGATACTTTTGGAATGAAGTAAAGTAGTAAAAACTGAAGTTCATTTTTTTCCACTGTGGACCGGTACAAAATGACCTACGGACTGCCATGGGGTCCCCGGACCAGGGGTTGAGTACCTTGGCTTTAAATGACTGTCCAGCCGGGCTTCTGTAGCCGACACCATGTCCTTCTAATAGTTCTGTTTTCACGTTGACAGATGTTTTTTTTTTATTGAAGCTAACGTTGACACCGATGTCTTTTATGAGTCACCGTCGAGCATCAAAGCAAACATCACAACCGGATCAGAGGCGGGAGGGCGACCGCGGGAGGGGTCGGCGAGCTCAGGTGAGCTCAGCGAAATGTGGCTGCCATCACACGTGCAGCGGTCGTGACAACAACAGGCTCCTCCACTACAACGTCCAATCAGCTGCTGCAGCCGTTACTCAACACGTGTGTTCCATTTCCATCGCGGCTCGGTGACGGTCTGCAGAGACGGGGATGGAACAAAGACCAGACGACGCCACGCGGCCGACGAAGCCATCAGAGCCGCAAACACACGGGATAAACGTCAGCACTCGATGACCGACGCACGCGCACACAGCAGCAGGAAATATTAGCGAGGATAACGAGCGAGCGTCCGACTGCGGCTGCGCTCCGAGCCAGGTACGAGATGGAAATCTTTGATGTTGCGTCGCAGGAATTGGACTAAATGAACAGAGGGAAACGTGGAGCGGAGCCGGCGGTCGGCAGGTCACACACAGGCTCTGTGGACGCTGAAGGGGCGCCACTGTGGTCGGACTGGACTGTCTGGGAGCATGAAGTGGCCTTCTCATGGTTCCCCTCGCCTGGGTGGTCTGCCTGTGGTGTGTGTGTGTGTGTGTGTGTGTGTGTGTGTGTGTGTGTGGACAGGGACATTCATCCTGTAAAGGTGAGATGAGTGGCTGTGTGTGGTGGCAGAGGGTGGCAGTGCCCACACATGGAGGACCACAGGTCCCACTGACCATCCCAGTGTTGAACACACACACACACCCACACACACACACACTCACACACACACACATCCAGCTCTCAATCCATGAGGAACAAATATTTTGACAGGGACAGACGCTGGGGCGTCTTCACTCCTCAACACAGGACGGTCTTGGAACTGTTGCTCAAACAGGAGCTGTGAAGAACCACAGACACTTTTAGAGTCCATCAAACCCCCCCCCC